ATATCATTTAATTTATATGAATGTTTAACGGAATAATATACAGCCTATGTCCACCCCGAGGTTCCATTCTAAATATTGGTGAAAGAATTTTTGAAATTGGGTGAGTAGTTTCGGAGATTACCTGCTGCAAAGAAACTTACATACATACATACATACAAACATTACCTCTTTATAATATTAGTATAGATAAAATTTATGTGGATTTTAAAAAATTTAATCTCAGAATATTCAGATTATATATTAAGTTTTATTAGAATTTACTAAATTTACAAGTGTTCAAACCATTGTTTTCTTGGATTTTTCCAAATTTTGTTATTATATATTCAAATACAAATTTTTTAAGTATTAAATATATAGTGTTTTTTTTGTCTGTAATAATTTTTTTTATATTAGTAATAAACTTAAACAGTAAAAATTTCTAATTGAAATTGTCTGTAATTTGAATTATTCATAGATATATTTGGTTTATTAAAACTCAGTTAATTTTGATTTTTTTAAAATAGTTTCCTTATCCAAAGGAACCACTTCCACAAGACCAAACAACAGTGAAAAATATGCTATTTGATTTATTGCTAGCAATGTTTCAAAAGGTAAATTTATAAAAAATATAATTTTTGTATTTATTGAAGTAGTAAAGAGTATTAATAATAATATCTCTCTTGTTAGTCACCATTTTGTTGAGATGAGAGAGCTCAGTAGTTTCAATGAACCGTATATGCTACTGATGAGAATATAAACATCAAACATGGTGGGCACTCATGCTAGTAAGTTTTACAGGGATAAATAAAGCAAAGAGTAACTCACAAGCAGCATCTGACTCAGAATGGTGGCTGTTAGACAGCATTTGTTCCCTATGTTAGGAATGGCTGAGTTACAAACATTTAGCTATAGGTTTATAAGCAAACCACTTCTATAGAGATAACAAAAAAATGCTAGGATGTTATAATTTGTTGCACTTATGAAGTTGAGCAACATTTGAGCACTTTTCTTCTTATCTTGAAAAAATTCTTTCATTGTTATACAGTTTTCAAAGCATTGATGATAATATTTTGAATGTTTCCTTCTTCAGATTGAAGTTTTTAAAGGGAAGTATGTGGGAAATATTGATAATGGTTTGAGGTTGATTGTTGTTTCCTCTGCCTACAGAAGGTTTCTAGACAGTTGAACTGATAATGATCAGTTTATGAGCATTTGTTGATTTTTATTCATAGGATTTGATTAGGAGTTGCAGTTGCTCCTGATTCATTTTGATATCCAGAGACAAGGAAAACTTGGAACGATGGAAAGAAATAAAAAATTAATGATAAGCGGATATACTCACAGTCGAATGCATTGACAATAATGGCTCAGAATCATGTTTGATAAATGTTTGTTTGATAAGTTAGTTCGTGATCTTTACCTCATTGCCAACTGTTGTGTATTTAATTTGAAATGGCTGAGTTGAACCTGACATATCAACAGAAAGATGTTGAATGGAGTGTGGGAAAATCCATGTTTTAAATATGTATACTGCTCAAGCACACATGGAGATATATGCCACAAAGCAACTTAAACAAAAGATACAATACTTAAGATACAAACAAATTCCTCATCTGTACCTACTACAACATCACAAAATTAGAAATAGATATAAGTGCATACACACAGAGACTACATAACAACTACATACAAAAATGCCTACATCTTACTGTTACAGAACAGAAGAGTTTTGATCTGAAAAGAACAATTATACAAAACAATCTTATTCCATACATAATGCTTGAACATATCAAATAAAAAGTTGCAGAACAGACACAATAACATCGCCAAACATTAAATTGCACAAAAAATTGCATTCTCATTGACAGTACTTCAAAAGGAGTCACTCTTGAAAACATACACAGTGTAACATGATGACCAATGAAAACATTAGCAATGTAATGAGTTACGAGTGACACTATAGAAACAGAATTAATTAACATTCTCATAAAGTTACTCCAAGAAACTCTCACTAAATATACTTACTTGATGAAAGACAACAGCCATACACATCACATATTATTTTCATCACTAACATCATATCCAGTAACAATTAAATTATATGATAGATATTAATCTGATTTCATATTTCCAAGTTTAAAATATTTTAATGATAAAATATCCCTTAACATATATTCAATAAATATATGTTTACTTATTTTTGGTTTTAAATTTTAGTTAATGGAAACTCAGCCACTTTTTATAGCAATTGATGATGCACATAATATGGATGATGATTCTTGGAAATTGTTATACAATGCTGCTCGTGCTTATCATCATCTTATTTGTATAGTAGCAACTAGTGTGACTGGTTTTAACAGAAGTGTTGTTAAGAAAATAATGAAAGGTCAAGTTACAACCATTATTTTGCAGCCTCTTGAGTCAAATTTTACAGGAATAATTGCCTGTCATTTTCTTAATGTTATTGGAATTCATAAGAAAATAAATGAGTAAGAAATTTTTTAAGTTAGATAATTTATAATTTAAGGTTAGATTTTGAAATATAATTTTGAAAAACATTTTAAAATTTAAAAGCTTTTTTTTATATTTAAAATTGAATCATAAAGAGAGAATTTATATATTATAGCTTTTTAATAAAGCATGCTAAAGGGAATCCACAATGGATTAAAGAATTGTTATTGTGTCTTGAAGCCCAAAAGCTCATCAAATGTACATCGTATCCATTAACTGCTAAATTATATGATAGATATCAATCTGATTTTATTTTCCCATGTAAAAAATATTTTAGTGATAAATTTTATAATAAAGCATGGATTCCAATGGAAAAAGAAGCTCCACCAGAAAGTGTTGGAAATATGAAAAACATAACTTCAACTCCTGTATGTAGCATTTAAAATTATCATTATATTTATAATAGGTGCATTGTCTGATAAAAACACATAAAACAGCTTTGTTCAAAGACAGTTTAACAACTTCCATTTTAAATTAGATGCCAAGTGTGGTAAAATTTGGGAGTGTTGAAAACAAAATTTAAGATGGCTGCTACAAAACAAAGTATTTGTAAAATTTTTTAGATAGAATTATGTGTCATTTGACTGTCTTAAATTTTGTAACTTCATTTACAGTTTTGTCATTTTTGAGTAAACATTTTGATTTTTATAAAAATAGGCATTTTAAAAACAGCAACATAGCAGTAGAACTGGCTTTTTTTTTCAAAATCAAAAATAAATTAATCAACTTTCAGCAGCCTAACTGAAGAAGTTTTATCAGGCAATGCATCCAATGACTTAAATGTAATAAATTAATACAGTGAAACCTGGATTTAGCAGACACCTATATTTAGTAAACAAAACTTCTGGTCCAAGTATAGCAATATAACTAAGTTATTAACATATTTTTACCTTGATTAAACAGACATTACTTTCTACAAACAATGGATAAAAATTTGCTTCTCTATCTATTCTTTGAACCTAAGTTAAGTGGATTATACAATAGATTACATGTTTCCATAATTATCAGTTAAAAAACACGCTTATCTGGTCCTTAATTACTTATATTTTTGTCCACTTTGGATATTCTTGTGAACTAGGACTCGTAATACTGAGGGAAGAAACACACAATTTCAATTAAAATATATTTATTATAATGTAATCTTAATCATAATTAGCATAACTCTTCAATTAATGTTTTCAGTAAGGACTTCTTCTCATGTTGCAAAATTGTTATCTCATCTGGACTGAAGTTTCTCTAAGAGGCTTTCAATAATAGATTTAGCTTCAGCAAGAGTGACTTTATCACCTTCTATAGCACAAATTGTTGCATAAAACATTTCAAATTGACATTCTAGAAATGTGGCTATTAGCTCTGAAACTGGATTAGTAAAGAAATTTTTCAGAAGCAGTGGTAGTTTATCAAAGGAAAAGAAGTAGGACCTTAGAACTTCGTACATTGCATTCATCCTTTTGAGAGCAGGGTATAGAGACAACCATTGCATTTTTGAGTGTCCTAACATTGTCTTTTATTCGGTATTCAAAAAGTCACAAAAACCTTTGAGTGTATGTACTCTAACAGAATAAATATAAAAATGCTAATATAGTTCTTCAATAACAGCTTGTACATCCATGTGCAATGCATCAGCTGCACAATGTATAACATTATTTATGATATGGGATGAACATCAAACACCTATCAATCTACAATTCAGTTTTGATTTCAATTTATCAAAAATATTGTTCTTTTCTCTTCTAGACTTACCACCAAAATTTGTATTTTTACTATATGCTGACAAGGCAAAAACTATCTTATCAACATTCCACTTTGTCACTAGTTGCCATACATATTCTGTAAGCTAGTCTACAGTTTAATATGGTAAATCTAAAAACTACAGAACCATTGTTTTGATGCCTTCTTCCGGGATGAAGTATTGAACTAAAACTGGAACTATCTTCAAAGCACCATGGTTGGAACTGTTGATCAATATTTACTCATAAGTAGCTTTTTTGAGTTTGTTTCTGAAAACAGCCATATAGTTCATCATATAGTTTCCAAATTATTTCAATGTGTAGTCAATTAAACAGAAACTCTGGTTGTGTATGCATATATGATAAGCAAATGTAGCTTAATGGCCATCAGCCATGATATTGTATATTTTGTATATTTTATTTTGAATTAATCCTAGCCTTCCTTCCTGTTTCTTTGTTCTGAATTCCTTCTAGAACTTCCTTGTCTAACCCTTTTGCCCATGGATAGAATTATCTTTTCCACAAATAAGAAGAACAAAAGAGGGAGTGGGGCACTGGGGCCAAATGGACAGAAAAAGAGTCAGTTTGGGTGAGAATCCCAAAGAGGTAGGCAGGAAAAAGGCAGTGCTCCAGAAATTGAGAAGGACAATCAGAGACTGCGAGTTGCTGAGGGATCAAAGAGAAAAGATTATGGACAGAAAACCTTGAGAAAAGATGACAAAGTAGAAAAATAGACAAAAGGTTATGATAAGAAAAGGGTCACAAATAAGAGGGAGATCCGAAGTTGTGTCCTACCCAAGAGCATGTCGCTATGAAAACCTTGGGTATTTCTATTCATTTCCTTATCCTTCCCTATTTCTTCTATTTCTCTATCTTCCTTAATTTAAGATAGTTATAAGTTAGTGTAAGTTAATATGACCCACGTCTGACTGTCGCACGCATGTGAATTAACTATTTGGAGGACAAGTACTTAATGCCTATGTATATAAAATTCATAAAGTTGTAAAGTTGGGATCTGATGTAAAGAACCTGTTTGGAGAGCATTAAAATACTTTGTGCTGTGAATAGTATTAAGTTTTTGTTTGTACCAATTTTGCTTGCGGAATTAAATACCTCTCGTTATGAACATCACAGCTTCATCAGCTGCAAGATTTTTTTCTATTTCATCTATTGCTTTTTTTGGAAGAAAAATCAGACACTTTAGTATGTACATTTTCATTTGCTGATAATTTGTCTCTTTGTAGTGATGTGCTGCATGATGTCTGATTGGCCACCATGTTGTATACTGAATATTGCATTACATACAGTGCATTTCACTTTATCAGTGACTTTGCTATCACAATTAGGTGTAATCAGTCCTTAGTTATCTCAGTTATCGTGTCACTCCATTTAGAAGGGTGCGTAAATGCTCTTCTAACCAACGCCTGGAATGCTGCAATTTTATAATTGTACGGGTCTGCTGAATTTGCCGGTATAAACCATGGGATGTAGCTGGGTTTATAATATATACCCATATCAATACTTCCACTGTTGAGCATGATGTTTATGTCCAGGAAGTGTGCATTGGTGGTAGTTAATTGATCTAGTTTCAGCGTCAGCCCATATGGATTTTTGTTCATGTGGCTCAAAAACTCATTGATGTGTGGTTTCGTTTTCCAGAGAATGTGCTACAACTCCATATTCCAATTTAACAACAAGACCTATTTACAAAAACGAGGGGTACCCATGGGCAGCCCGCTGTCTAGCGACTTATGTGAGCTGGTATTACGTAGATTGGAATAAACAGTCATACCAAAGTCTAATATAATTATTTATAATTATATTAGACTTTGGTACAATTCTAATATAATTATTTATAAGAGATATGTGGACGATGTCTTTATTCTCTGGAAAACGAAACCACACATCAATGAGTTTTTGAGCCACATGAACAAAAATCCATATGGGCTGATGCTGAAACTAGATCAATTAACTACCACCAATGCACACTTCCTGGACATAAACAACATGCTCAACAGTGGAAGTATTGATACGGGTATATATTATAAACCCAGCTACATCCCATGGTTTATACCAGCAAATTCAGCAGACCCGTACAATTATAAAATTGCAGCATTCCGGGCGTTGGTTAGAAGAACATTTACGCACCCTTCTAAATGGAGTGACACGATAACTGAGTTACAGAATATAGAATGCATTGCAGTCGCACATGGATACAGAAAAGAACTAATACAAGGACTGGCAAATGCCTATTTATGAACACATGAAACACGAGAGGCACCCATTACTCAAAATGCTAATCAAGATTCAAACAGAAGACTCAACATCATTGAATACAGCAAACAATTTCAAGCGTTATATAGAGAAATTGCAACTAAAACGAACACCAAGGTAGCGTACCGAAGAACCCCCAATATATATCAATTACTACGTAATGCAAAAGACAAACAGAACGATCTTAGAGCTCCGGGGTATATAGTATTCCTGTAAAGGATGATCGATTTAAACAAGAAATGGTATACATCGGCTCCACGAAACGTTCAATCCAACAGAGAATTAACGAGCACAAATATGACATAGAACATGCTCGTTACACCACTGCACTATCCACCTACGCAACTGACCCGGATATTCACGCAGAACTATCAAAAGCCAAATTAATAAATAGAGCTTTTAATATGGACCACATCAGAGCCCTTGAAGCCCTGGAAATCTACAAAGCCAGCAGGATGGGGAGATGTATAAATACCAAAGACGGCAACACGCTTTCTTATGCATGGCGTTACGCAGGCCTGCCATAAGCGGGCGTGCACCGCACGCGGGGGCAAATCGAGCGATCGGTTACGTAATATTCAAAGTCATTGTCATAATACCCACCCTACTTATACCATAAGAAATGTCTTCGCATGGAGAAAAAAATTCTGACTGGCGCGCAATTATTATATTCTTATTTATATTATAGCGTTAAAGCGCCTCTATTGGCATTTATCAGAATTAAGATGCAATGTGAAACATCAGTCGGCAGGTTGAAGCATCCGGCGGTGCCCGAAAGCCAAGTACCCATAGTCATGCTCTATGACAGAAGTTGATAGGACTGGCGATAATAGGGAATCCCTACAGAGTTTCCTTTTCAATTTGTACTTGTACGCATTTGAACAGTTCTATCGCATATCAAATTGCAATTATTTTGTTAATAATTTTTCTGACATGGTTCTAAGTATAATTAATCATATTTTAACTTGGTTAGCATTTAAATCTGAAGCGTAAAGATGATTCGAGTAGTGAAACAGACATTGATGGTATTGATTTGTATGATTGAAATCTGTACTTTAAAGTTGCATTTTCCAGAAAACCGTTCTAATGATCCACAAACCCTATTACAATAACTTTTTACTAATGACTTAATAACAACATTTCCTAACACAGCAATAGCACTAAGAATATTACTTACATTGTTGGTTTCAGTTGCATTTGGTGAAAGGTCCTTTTCAAAGTTAAAAATTTTAAAAAACTATTTAAAATCAACAATGTACTAGCAAAGACTAAGTAATTTAGCTATAGTTTCAATTGAACACGAAATCTTAGACAGCTTGGATACAAGAAAATTGATAGCAGATTTCGCAAACATAAAGGCAAGAAGAGTTAAATTTCTGTAAATAAATATTTATATGATTTTACACTTAAGTAAACAAAAATAACTTAGTAATAATAAATAGTTTTTCTTTATAAAGTATTTCTTTTCTTTTTTCACACCCTTATGAGACAACACTAAAGAGCCTTACTGGCAAGCTCAGCGTAGGTAGTCGTAATTAAACAGGGGGCGGCATAATCGGTATTGCACACGGGCGTTCAAACAGGTAGTGGTGCCCCTGGCGTTACGTATGCGAAGAACAACAAAATGATGATGATACGTAACACGCGCATGAATTTGATTATATTTGGAAACTAAACGTTCATTCTAAAAATGGAATCCAAGTATTTTAACCTGAAGCAGGCCTCAACTGAGGCCGAAAATGTTTGTTTTTACGAATAATTTACAAGTACCGGATAATAAAGGTTTAGTAAGTGCGATTTTATTAAAAAGAATAATTTTATTATATCAGAAAATCACAAAATTAAAGCAAAAAATAATATTTTATTGTTCTTGTTTCTTAAATTAAGATTTGAGTGTAAAATTTCAGATTAAAAAAACTGGATATATACATATCCAGTTTTATATATATATATTATTTTCTAGCTTATTTGTGATACTGCACCTGCTACAGACTTAGAAAAAGTTGATTTACCTAAAACAATGGAAGGTAAATGAGAATTTTATAATTTAATTAACAAAGAATAACTTTTTGAATAAATTATAATAGAGTAACAGTTTACTTTCTGTCAATTTTACAACAGATTTAATTCAGCAAGGTTTAAACATTATTAAAACAAGGCAGCAAGTTTTGTTAAAAACTGCAGCAACTCTTCAAACAGAATTTGATGTTGAATTACTTGCTAAAATAAATCCAGATCTACCAATAGAAGAGGTAATTTATTTAAATTAATTTTTAAAATATTTTTATAAAACAGTTTTAAAAATATTTTTTCAAAACAGTATTTAAATAAGTATTTATTATTACATGCCCACTTATTAATCTTCTTTGTCTTAGCTTTTTCCTGTGTTTGTATGGGGTCAGCATTTTCATCTTTAATTTGTTTTCTCCACTTCTTTCTATCCAGGACATCCCCATCCCCTCTCCAAAATCCTCTATTACCTTGTCTCTCCATTTCAGCTTTAATCTTCCCTGTTTCCTCCACCCTATCACTTCCAACTTCCCAATCCTCTTTTCAGTATAGTCTTCACTTCTTCTCACATGTTCAAATCATCTTAATCTACTTCCTGCATTTTCTTACTTACAGGACTCACCTTGACTGTTCATCTGATGTAATCATTCCTATTTCTGTTCTTCTTTGTCACACCACACATCCATCTCAGAATTTTTATCTCTGCTGTCTCCATCTTTTCCTGGCTACTGTAATTACCCAAGTTTTAAGCACTGTACATCATTGTAGGTCTTACCATGGTTTTGTATAATCTTTCATTTTGTAGCTAATTTTCTTATCATACAGCACCCCACTTGTCTTCCTTCAGTTCAACCATCCACTCTGAACTCTATGCTGAATTTTTGCACTCATTCCTCTATCACTTGCTACATATGATCCATAATACTTAAATTTGAAAGATGTTATTAACTTTTTACCCTGGAGTTGTATATAACTTCACCAGATGTCATATACTATCTTTGCTCTGTTAATCTTCATGCCTCTCTCCCTCAGCACTTTTCTCTATTCTACCAGCTTTTTTCTACCTTATCTCATGATGTTTTGCACAGCACAATATCTTCCACAAACAGTATACTCCATGATGTCTTGCTCTTCTCATCTTCCACCAATACATCCACCACTAAATTGAAAAGAAATGGGTTAAGGACTGAGCTCTGGTGCAGTCCAACTCTCATAGTGAATTCCTCTGTCAGACCTATATTATTCTTTACTTGAGTCATTGTTCCCTTATGTATTTCCTTTACAAGTCTTACATACTTTTCTGTTATTCCCTTTTCCCTCATATATCTCCATGCTTCCTGTCTTAGGCATCCTATTGTATACTTTCTCCAGGTCTATGAATACCACATGCAGTTCTGCTTGTATCTCTCTCTAGCTTTCCATCAACTGCTTTATAGCAAAGATTATATCTGTTGTTCCTTTATCCAGCATGAAAACAAACTGCTCCCCATCTATAGCTGTCTCTTGCTTTCCTTCCACAATTCTCTCGCAGATCTTCATTGAATGCAATATCAGTTTAATTCTTCTGTAATTTCCACATTCCTGCACATTTCCTTTTCCTTTATAAATTGGCACCAAAATATTTTTCCTTCACTCATCTGGTATCTTCTCTTACTGCTGTGGCTTTTCCATAAGGTCACATACAATATCAATGCCCTTTTCACCCAAACATCTCCATACCTCAGCTGGGATCTGATCATCTGTTGCTTTCTTATTCTTCATTTTTCTAAGTGCCCTTTTCGACTCCTTTTGCTTATATCTGCTGTCATTCCTTCATTTGCTTCCCCATCCTTATATAGAACTCTTGGGTTTTTGTCATTCATTGGCTTCCTAAAAAATTCTTCTATCTTTCCTTTATCTTCTCTTGGTAACTCTTTACCATTCCCATGTTTTATCTGTTTTATTGACATGATTTTTTTTGATGTCTTGTCCCTTGCTTTCACAATTCTTAATGTCCACTTATTAATATAATATTTATATCATTTATTGTTGGTTATTTTAATTCAAGGGGGACAAATGACAAAATGATTTAATCCACAAGTTTTTATTTTACAAAACTAACTCACTATATATACAATGCACAAAAGAATTGATGAGACAAAGATGAACATCATATTTCTATTAAAAAGACAATGCACAAAATAGTGGTGACCTCTTCAGACTGTAAACATACAACAAAGAAAAAAAACTGTAATAAACAATAGTACTTTTTAATTAAACATACAAGTCAAACTAGTTTTTGTTAATGTTCTGCCATGTTTCTTATAAATAAAGACCCTTTCAGTTTCAATCCAACAACGTTTACTTGTAATTTATTAAAACAAAAGAATACACAGAGACTTGGCTCTGCTTAACGTACACCTCTAGTCTCTTAACTCTTGCACCAACTAACCACTGCACTGGAGCCAAATACACACAAATGATCAATGCGGATTCTCTTTCCTGTTAATACTTCAATTGGAATTCTGTCTGTGACATTGCTTTTTCCTGTCAAATTGATGACATGAACTGCTGTATGTATTGCTTCAGCCCACAAGTTTTTGTCAAGTCCTCTTGCATGTAGCATGGATTTTGCTAGCTCAACTACTGTTCTATTATCTCTTTCTATTTTTCCATTTTGTTCAGGAGAATACCCTACTGTTGTCTGATGACAGATGCCCTTACACTCTAAGTAATTGGACAATTTTTGATTCACAAACTCATGTCCTCTATCACTACGAATAGCTTTCACTGTTTTTCCTGTTTGATTCTCTATATATGCTATGAAGTTCTTTACTTGGTCAGGTGCTTCTTCTTTTGCTTTTAGTGTTTTTACAGCTCAAAAATTTGAAAAATCATCTCTGAACAGGATGTAGTATTTGGAGCCACTTATAGAAGTAATTTCCATTGGTCCTCCAATATTCACATGAATTAATTCTCCTATTTCTTGAGTGCCAGTTTCACTTTTGCTAAAATGAAACCTATGAGCTTTTCCCATCATGCAGCCTTTACAGATATTATCTTCACATTTATTAGTCACCTCAATTCCCATTTGCTTTAATACATCTTTTACATGTCTTTTATTCTGATGTGCCAGTTTTTTCTGCCACAGTTGCAAAGGATCAATGGCATTCACTACATGTACTTCTCCCTCTTGGATTACTACTACTGTCATAAGCATGTGGTACAGTCTTCCAACTTTTAGGCCTTTAGCCACAATTTGTCTGTTTCTTCTTAGAAGACATTTTTCATTATCAGACTCATAAGTGAGTCCTTTCTCAACTAATTTTGTGATAGAGAGTAAATTTCTTTCACATTTGGGTACATGAAGAACTCTTGTTAGCTCTACACTTTTATATGCACATCTGCCGAGAGAAAATTTCACAGCTATGGACCTTCTCCAATAGCCAGCATCTCAGAATCATTTCCCACTTTTATCACTACAGAAGAGGTGTATTGTTTGTATTCTTTGAACCATTATTTCCTGCTTGTCATATGATCAGTATCTGTACTATCAGCAATCCATATATCTAGTTTGGATTGCATTTGATTTCTTCAAGTGACCCATGCTTCAGTTTTTTCTTGGTTTACTACACTAATGTTAACTCCTTTTTCCGTTTTTGCACTTTTTTGGCAATGTGTCTTTTCATTCCACAGGTTCTACAGATAGTAAAACATTGATTTTGTTTGTGTCCTTGCTTATTGCATCCAAAACAAACTATACCAGTTGTTGTTCTTCTTCTGTTCCCTTTTGAGTTTTTCCAGTTCCCCTTTTTACTGTATCTGCTGTTACATTTTAGAGCCTCAGCCTGTCCATTGTCTTTCTCAATCTCTCCCTGTTTAAGCCTGGACTCTTCCAGTTTTAATCTTGCCATCAGAGTCTCAAGATTTCTTCTGTTCTCATCCATAGATTCCCACGCTGTCATAAAGTGTTTATATTCTGATGGAAGGACTATGATTACTTCATCTTCTGAATCATCATCTTCAGTTTTGTCAAAGATTTTCATTTTTTCTCTTATTCCTTCTAATATGGAAAACATAAATGTTATAGATTCTCCATCTTCATATTTAAACAAGTGATACTCCTTTAGTGCAATTTCCTTTAACAGATATGACTTTTTCTCATACATGATAAGTAGCTTGTTCCACATTTCATTTGATGTCTTACAATTTCTTATTGCTGAAAGTGCCTCTCCTGTTACTGTACTGCCTATCACCAGTTTGGCAGTTTTTTCTGCTTTGGACCAGATCAACAACTCTTTCTTGTATTTTTCTTTCTCTGTTGTATTAACATTGTTGCCAGGGTGTTCTGGCTTTTTATGCATTCCAGTTACAACTTCCCAGCAGTCCATGCTGTCTATTATTATTTTAACTTGAAACTTCCAGTTTTTCCAGTTATTTTTTATCAATTTTTCTATACCTATATTCATTGTTTTCATCTCCAAATATTTAGCAATTAATTTTAAATGAGCTAGAGGAACAAAGAAGCTGACTTACACGTAGTAATGGCGGCTTTTCGTTGGGTCTAGTCTGACACAACAAAACAACAACTCGGTTATCTTTGACGAATCTGATGACTTCTGTGTTGAATCTTTAGTCACAATCACTCTCTGCTACCATGTTAATGTTCTGTCGTGTTTCTTATAAATAAAGACACTTTCAGTTTCAGTCCAATAACATTTACTTGTAATTTATTAAAACAAAAGAATACATGGAGACTTGCTCTGCTTAACATAACCTCTAGTTTCTTAACTCTTGTGCCAACTGACCACTGCACCCCCTCGCATTCTCCCTGGATTTTACTTACTAAATTAAATACTCCCAGCAGTTTTAATAAATATAATGGACCAACAAACATATCTCATCAATCACTTAGTGTGGAGATGAAATTGCCAATCTTAATATTTATAAATGTGTGATATTATATTTGTAGATGAATGTTGGTTTATAACATTAAGGAATTGATTTATACTTTAGCCATTATTTATTAAATTATAGATTTTACAATTTTATTTACATAAATTAGAATTTTTAAGTGAGAAAAACTTCAGATGTAAAATTTTAAAATTTGTTTTGTATATAACTTTCCACATTTAAAAATTGAAAGAGAATTAAAATTAAATTATTTTAATAAAAAATATTTTATGTGTTTCTTATAAATTATATCAACAAATAAAAATTATTTAAGCATGATCAATTTTATATGTATTTGTATTTTTTATACTTTATACTTACATTATTTGTACTTTATATTTTTTTAAATTATATAGATAAATCAAGATATTAATGATATGATAAATCATCATTTCATAGAATATGTTCAAAAATCAGATGAAGAAAATATAAACAAATTAATAATTCCAAGTTTTATTTATTCTACTGTATATGAATCTATGACAAATCAACAAAAAATTACACTTCATATAAGAATTGCAACATGTCTTGAAAAGAAGAGTATTATTTGTCCATCATGTAGTGAAACAAAACATATGTTAAAGAATGATAGAAAAAATATTGATATAACAAAAGATATTGTTGAAGAAGAAATGTAAGATAGAAAAATTATATAAAGCTTTATATTTTTTTATATTTAATTATTCTAATGAATTCACTGTATATTATGTAAGATATAATTACATTTGTTTGTTAATTTACATTTATATATTCTATAAAGTATTTGGAGTGTTTTGTCTGGCATCTTACAAGGAGTAGTGCAAATAGTCATGTACCATGTTTTGTTTCTATTCCACAATTGCAAAGTAAATATTGGCAAAGTACCAGATAATCTTTAACTAACAAGTAAGTCTATATATTGACAAACATTACTATTCTGCTTACTGGAGTCTTAAAGGTAAAACTATATATTTTTAAGACTTCAGTAAGTAAAAGAGTAGTATGTATCAGACAGATAAGATTTCCTGCTTGATGTGTAGATCAAACATGATCTGAACCTGATGTTTCATCTGTATTACTTTGCAACTATATTCTATTCTGTTCTTCTAGTTTTACTCCAGCAATTTTTTCTTCTTTACATAGTATTAATAATGGCTTTCCTAAACAACAAATTTAATGTTCATTATAACTAGTTTTAAAAAAATTATAATTGACTAAAAGCTAAATTTCTTATTGCAAAAATTATTATAAAAATTTTATGTTTCCATAACTATTTAATATTAAAAACAAATTGGAAAGGAATATATTATTTATAATTTGTTTCCAGTTTCATTGTTATATTTTATATTATGTTAAATTATTTTTCTAATGGTAACTATAGTGTTATCATCATCATATTTACATTGTTTTCAAATAGTGAAAGTTTTGAATTTTATTGAAAAATATATAATCATTTAGAAAGTTTATTTCACAAATTGTTATTTTCCTAATAATAGCCTACTGTTATTACTTGAATACATAGTTGTTCATTTAAGCATATATTAATAATTTATAATCCATAATTACACCATTTGCTTCATGAAAATTTCAATGAACAAATAGTCAAGATTAGGGTGCCATGTATGGTACTTTGAATTTAACTTGTTTCTGGAGTCAGTTTGAAGTCCGATTCAACTTTCTCTTAGAAATAATGGAAATGAATTAAACCATTCCCAGATCCTAAACAATAATTTTAACTCATTTTGATAAACTTAACAACAACTACACATATTTAAAGTAAAAATAATACAATTATATGCCCTAAATAATAAATTAAAACATGAAAATGATAAATAAAATACATAAATACTGTATAATAAAATGAATATTGCTTTTACTGTACCTCAGTGAGGAGTGATGATTCTCATGTACAGTATCTGGTAGAGAGGAGGAGAAAGGTTACTGGTTTGGAGGGAGAGTCACTTTCCATAACATACCAAATAACTGTCCTTTTGGTATTCTCTCTCTCTCTTCTTCATCTTTGCATTACTGTTGAGGGTTTTCATCCATTTTCCCTTTTTTCCTCTGTCAGAAAGATTTAATATATTCTGGCAATGGCAACTTTTCTTTCCAATGTACTCTGGAATTGGCAACTTTTCTGGATGTTCTTACAGCAAGACATCATATTATCATTGAACAAGTCAATGCCATCTTCAAATTTACTGTAAAAGGATGTTTCTCTGTTTTTGTAATCTCTCTCCATTTTTATGTGAAATAATGGCAGCTGTGTCATTTGCAAATCCTTAGTCTGTCCAAGAATCTGTTCTGTTGTTGTTAATTCTAAAAAGCTCATTGTTCATTATATTTGATAGTCCTGGTCCTGATCTTGACCCCTGCAGGCATCCTCTGTCAATAGTGTGAGAATTCGGACGCAAGTGAAAATTTTTACACTGTACTGCATCACATCAAAGGTGACTTTCATCATCCGAAGAAGGACTCCCCTCACACCAGGGATCGCTCGATTATAAGGTAACTGCGATGTTCACATAAATGACCAATTAGCAATAAAGAATATATGTTGCTGTATAGAGGGTGAAAGAAAAGGTCATCAGCGAGGGTAAAACGAAATCCCGTGATCCCCCATAAGTCTGAGCAACCCAATGGGAAGGCGATTGAAATGACATATAAGGCAATGAATTTTTCTAAGATGGTGATATATCTAGAGAACTGTCAAATTCAAGTAAACAACATACACTGCAAAGACAATTATGTCAGAAAAAGTCCCACATATTTCCCACGCTAATTGGGTATAAAAAGGGGTCGAATTTGCTCCTCCGGGAGGACAGCCGAAGAACCCCTCCGAGCAAACATCTCCATGCAGAACTCTACAGTCGGAGAGCAATGGAGCATCCACCCTCTACGGACATAGCCGAGCAGACATCAAGGGACATCAGTTCCATACCGCCAAACTGTCCATCGCTCCATATTGCCATCCAAGGGAACTTCGATTGGAAACCGACGTCCCAGTTGCATCCTACCAACGCCCTATACGAAGAGATTGCATCCTACGAAGTAAACCCTTGCCCGAATTTTTGTCTCTCTCTCTCCTCACGTCCCTCTTAGAGAGGTCTCTCTCAATCTTTAGGTTAGGTTAGAACATAGATATAGAATAGATTCCTTTTATTATTTACGCGTGTGTATTTTATGCTTTTTCCTTTGATATGTATAATCTCTTAGTTGTTTAGTAAAATGTGTTGTTATTTTCCAACCTGTGTAGTTATTTGGACACCTCGTTACGGCCTCACTACCCCTCCCCACTCAGTTAACAAGGCCATCCCTGACAACAAAGCCAATAAGTGGGGAGAAGCTTACCGCTCTAACCCCCTCAGTTCACAATAGTTTTTTTCTATTTTGGAAGGTTGATTGAAGACTCCTGCTGTTCTGTTGTTCAAATAGCTTTTAAGGATAATATAAAGGTTCTTTGGACAGTACAGAAAAAATGTCTGAATTTTTAAAAATTTCTCAATGTTTCAAGGTTGCCGAGTCCAAAAAGGTAAAAAATCTTGAGTGGTCATTTTTTTTATCAATCGCCATACTTTTCCTCTGTTATATATAACAAAGCTGGGAAAGTAAAACATTAGCAAAATAAAATTTCTGTAGAAGTTACCAAAGTTGACTGATTCTATTGAATACAATAGAAACAATAAGCTTAGTTTAGTCAAACATTCAAAAACAATTGACTAATTGTTTATTTACAATTGTACTAAACTATTAATTCTCATGCATAGTTTGTGGATTGCAGCAGGACAGGCCACAAGTTTGCTGACTTTTAGCATCACTAAACAATTAATGCACCAAATTTTAGCATTACTTTAACTCTGTATAATGTATACAGAGTTAAAGTATTATCTTAGATTTATATTGTAATTTAGATTATAAATTTTTTTATAATAATCAGTTACATAACAAAAAATTTTTATTTGTTTATAATTTAAATTATCATATTATATTTAGTGTGGGGGCCAGTGTGGATGTCAGCCATATTATATATATGTATTTGTAATTGTATATAGTTATAATTCTATTTTATTCTTGCAATTTCTTTTATTCCCTTTGTCTATCCTTTCTAAAACCTTCCAAGATGACCATTATCGCCTTTGGGTTGGATTAGCCATTCGGAGAATCAGTAAAAACAATAGCCGGTGAGGTGGCCTGAGAAGTAATGGCTGGGAGACGAGTCACTTTTTTGATGCGACACGGAGAGAGTCAGACATGTCAAACAGAGTACCGAGTGTGACTTTGTAGCAAGGACAAAAAGAATTTTTGTGATAGTCAAGTAAGGGACTGAGGAGGAACTACGTTCGAATAATAGGCTTGCAGACAACTCCAAATAGGTCAAAAATTGTCCTAAGGAAGCGGAATCTCCATGATTAAAGATAGGATGATTGGCATATTTGAGAACTTCCAGAAGGAAAAGGGAATTAAGAATAGTGAAAGAGAGAGCCATTGTCATTGAAGAAAAATCCTACCCAAAGCGCATATCAACTGAAAGAAAGGAAGGTCCTGGTGAAGTTGCGGATCCGCAAATACTCAATTAACTTTCTAAATAAAGGCGCAAAAGTCTATATTGTCAGCCTTGCTGCTTTGCTACGTGCACTATCGCTCGGCGGCAAGAGCGACGTTGCCGTTCAGTGCGGCACGCGCTACACCCCTTCTCTACACAGCACCCCCCACCCTTTAACCTCTACTGATCTAATTGCCAGTTGACTTTCCGTTCTCACTAAACAAAGTGTCTTCGCGCTAAATAAAATAAGTAACTCCTATCCTAGTCCTGGTGCATAATTCTAATTTACGGTCGGTTGTGACGTCAATGAATCATGTGACGGAACGATCTCAGTTTAAGCCTATGGAGAGCTGCAGCCTCGCGGCTTGTCCACGAAACCTAACCTATAAACTGGCCGTAAAAGCTCTCTGTAGAAGAGAGTCGAGTTTGATAACTGCTGACACAACCCTGAAATTTATCTTAGACAAACTAAAAAGCCAGGACACAAGCCAGGACGCAAAAGAATCAGAGAACGGCGTCTTATCGAGGTCACAGGGATGCTGATTTACATACAGAACCCGAAAAACTATAACCAAAAAGTTAGAAAGCACGATTATTCTTTCACAATACCGAAAAAAATGTAATGCGCCAGGAGATGAAAAATATGCTGAATCGAGTAAATACATATGTAGTGGAACCAGCAGCAATGGCTGAGGATATTATGGAAACGGAAAACGATGATCCAGATAACCCGCATTCATTCCCTGAATTTCACATTGGAATAAGAATCGGAGATCCAACTAAAGCGTGAGAAAGAAAACTTCATGAAACGAAAAGAAACTAGTACTGAGAAGGATTATGATAAGTTATTAAAAAAGGAAATGGCTGTTTATGAACGTGAGGGAGTCAAAGGTAAAAACTTATCTTTAATTTATGATTATTTGATGACCCTGAAACCAACTAGCATAGAGGCAGAAAGAGCCTTCTCCGCAGCGGGATATATATGCAGTTCATTAAGAAGTAGGTTGGGAGACAACACCATCAATACCATTTGTTTCTTGAGATCCTACTTTTAGAAAAGTCAAAAAAATAACAGAAGTGATTGATTTAATTTTATTTAATCCTTTAAAATA